ATCTAATGTGCCAGAAACTTAGGAGGCAGAGACATGGGGATGAAACATATCCAGACCAGGCCTGGAGCTTTAGCTCAGTGGCAGAGCACTTGCCTAGCATGTGTGAGTCACTGGGTTTGATCCTTAGTACCATATAAAAATAAAATCAAGGCATTCTGTCCATCTATAGCTATCCCACCAATTCCAGTTATAAACTTTTTAAGCTGGGCGTCTCTTTGGGAAAAAAAAATACATGCAAGTAATATTTCAATCACAACCACAGAGGAGTCATGGATCTCAGATTAACTCTGCCAAAGATAATATCCACAAGCAACTTCATTTAATAAAGTGGTTCTTAACCTTTCGTGCCAGACTTCTTTAGTCTGATTGATCTATGGATCTCTTCTCTGAATTTTGTGTATGTGTACATACTAGGGATTGAACCCAGGGGCACTTAACCACATCCCCAGCCGTTTTTATTTTTTATTTCGTAATAGGGCATCTCTAAATTGCTTAGCACCTTGCTAAATTGCAAAGCTGGCTTTGAACTTATGATCTTCCTGTCTCAGACTCCCCAGCCCTTGGGGAGGTGCACCACCACAAACAGGTCTCAGACTCTTTTAAAACACCACCTGAAGTATATAGGATTTCAAAGCAAACCAGTAATATTGAAATATAGTTATCAAAATATTTTAAAACGTCTAATATGGTAGTGAATGTCCTTTAAGTAAATTTCTAAACATATAAAAAGGAATAATGAGCATAAACAATATTTCAAGATATCTATAAAACCTCTAATATAAAAAACCTGGTTTTTCTCTTGGTGACAAAGTCACAAACTCTGCTGTCTTCTTTGAATTTAAAAAAAAAAAATTGATTCTTTTCCATCTAGATTCCTGTCCAAAGCTAAGGAAAATAAACAGGCAAGTTTTTTCCTCAAACTCAACCTCAACTAAGGTACTTCTCCAGTTTTATCCAGGAACCTAAATGAAGAATCCTGGTGAGCCAAAGACTTATATTCTGAAAGCCAGACTTCAGACTTTAGTCCCACCTTATTTACACCTGAATTACTTTAGACATCTGAGCTTTGTTTCCCCTCATTGAGAATAATTTCTGTATCATGAGGTTTTAAGAATCAAATATTAGGAAAATGCCAAATGACCAAAGCGTTATTTTTGACAGATTTTAACACTATATGTTCAGTATCAAATATTTAATCACACTGTTAATCTTCAATAAAACTCATGATATGGGGCTGGGGATGTGGCTCGAGCGATAGCGTGCTCGCCTGGCATGCGTGCAGCTCGGTACGGTCCTCAGCACTACATACAAACAAAGATGTTGTGTCTGCCGAGAACTAAAAAAGAAATAAATATTTTAAAAAAATTCTCTCTTAAAAAAAACAACTCATGATATGAAGAACTGATTAATAGGAATATTAACTTTACATAATAGTTTAGTAAGATAAGGTAGAGCTGTCTAAACTGGGAAGTGAGGACTGATTTGACATTAGAATCCCCTGAATCTAAATCCCAGGGATTTTTTGGTTTTTGTTACTGAAGACTGAACCCAGGGGCACCTACCACTGGCCTTTTTGTTTTTTATTTTGAGACAGGGTCTCACTAAATTGCTTAGGACCTCACCAAGTAGCTGAGGCTGGCTCTGAACTTGTGATCCTTCTGCCTCAACTTCCCACACTGCTTGGATTACAGGCTTACCCTAAATTCCAGTTCTACTGTTTGCCTCAGTTTCTTTCTTTGTAAAATGCTGCAATATCACTTTAGAGGTACTTACTTAATAAATGTACCTATTACTGAAATTCACAATTAATAACGCCAAAGGAATCAATCTAAAACTCTAAAAAGTTTACTTTGGAATTCACGTTGATATAAAGCAACTGCACAATCTTCTGCCTGACAAAACATACGCAAACTTAAAACTATGTAGTATTTGCTTGGCATAACATTCCTAAAACAAACTAGCACTGGCTTAAAATCAAATCGGATTTCTTATTCTGAAGAAAACTATGGATTTTAAAAGGATGAACAGGCAGAATGAGTTCAGCAATTTTAAACCTTTTAATGATGTGCTTGGAATATTCCAATGAATGTTTATTATTAATGTTGATATACTCTAAAATAGATTTAAACTTAATTGAAAGATCTCTGCGCTGGTGATGTAGCTCAGTGGTTTAGCACTTAACTTTGCCTAGCACGCTTGAAGCCCTGGATTCAATTCCCAGCACCACAGAACAATAAAAATCACTTGACTTATTAGAAATACAGTATTAGGTTAAAAGAAAAATACTTTTTTACATTTACTTTCTGTAGGAATACTACGGAGTAAAATTCTCCCAGCCCACCACCCCACAAAACACTTTCCACCGGCTGCTCCTAGATCTCAGTCCATTATACAACTTGTAATTTCCTTCCCTCATAGAAAAGCTTATACTTTATACAGGCTTGATTAACAAAACCCAAGTTGCGAAGTTGCAGCTTTGCTGGTTGGATGTTTTCACAATATAAGAACAATATGATCTGGAAGCTACTCAAAGTATTAGCTAGGCAGTCAGCTGACGCTCACTGCACACAACAGAAGGACAGAAATGACAGAAATTAAAGTTCGCGTTTGTATAAGGCAGGTACCGCTACTTTGAAACCTAAAATAAGTCAAGAGTACGCGTTCCAGTTAAAGTAATAAAAGTATTTCTATTGCTCAAACTACAATACAAAAAAAAAAAAACCCAGCTTTTCCCAGACTAAGTTTCTTTCATTCTTGGAATTTTCTTTGTAAAGAGGTTTTATTGGTTCATAGAACCAACCCGCATCACGCAGTCGCCGCCAGAGTAACTTTTACAAAAGGTCAAAGCGGTGCCTTTCAAGACTTCCAGACCTACAGGCTTCCCCTCCGTTCACAGTAACTCGTTTTCACCCATAGAACGTTCCAGAGATTTAGGGACATGCACCGAACAAAATTTGGTGGAAACTGCAAAAAAGCTTTTTTTTCCCAAACACCTAACTCTCCCCGCCCCCCGATAAAACTCTAAAACAAACCAAGAAAACACATTTCACCTTTTCCCTCCGGGGTCCCACATGTTGCTCACCTTCCTCCCAGAGGCCCCGCGAGGCCTCGCCTCACTCCGGAGAACGCGCCCACCTGATTACCCTTTTCTCCGACAGACTCCGCCCCCCCACCCCCGCCCGTTCGCCTCCTTTAGATCCATATGGGACACTTTTCGCTTCCTCTGATCCTCAAGCCAAACCAGACAAGCCCCCGATACCCCACCTCCCGTCCTCCCGTGGTATGGGCCTCACCCTCCCAGCTTCCCAAAGTGTTGGGAGTGCGCAGAGCGGAGCTGCAGGCCTACACGGCCCAGGTGCTGTGTCAGCCTATCTGCCGGTTCCGCGGCGTGTACGGCCTGGAAAGTCACATGGCGGTGGGACCGGCCGGCGCCTCTACACTCCAGCTCTCCTCAGAGAAGAAGATTACCAAGTCCACTCACCTCCACGAAGAGCAACATGTCTTCCTCCGCTCGGCCCAATCGTTCCCGCCGCCGCGACTCCAACTGGCACGCAGGCCCGAGCCCCACTTGCTAGGATAAGGACACTCGCCTTGCCCCTCCACCCGGCAGTGGACCCGACTCCTCCCCCGCCGTCAGCCGCAGCGGCCCGACCCGCCCAGTCCCGCCTCCCTTGAAACAACAACTCTTTCCGGTTCTAGAGAAAAATTGCTTCCGGGAGAAGAGGAAGCCCTTGGCGCGCTCAACTTTGGCACTACACCTATTCCGCCGGCAGTGTGGAATGTACTATTGTCTGTCTGGGGTCGGGGGAGACTATCAGAAGGAGGCGTCATTCTGTGCCAAGAGATTGAGTGAAAATGTTATTGATGCATTTTATCCCTTGCCAGATAGGTACCACAGCCCTAATAATTCCACAGTTTTCATATTTCAAAATCTAGATCTGATTAGAAGCCGATCTTATGTGAAGTGTAGTGGAATAATCGCCCAGCCCTGTTGAAAACGTAGTGGCTCACAGAAAAAGGCAGAGGGGGCGGGGGAGGGGGGTGGAAGCTGTAGAGTAGTAAAGATGTTAGTACTGCTATTGTATAGTAAATTCTTACTGTGTGCTTGGCAATATACCAAGCATTTTGCGTGAATTAATTTTAAAACAATCCTATGCAATAAATAGTTTTATTTTAATACACCACTTTACAGTTGAAGGAGCTCTCTGTGGAGGGCGGGTTTCCCTTAGGCACACCTTTAAAGAACTTTGCTCCAGGCTTGCTCAAAGGAGGTTTCCTGATTAACATAATGCATATAATTACACTTAATAGATAGCAACTCCATCGATTTTTCTGCCATACTTAAATAAAATAAAAATTAAGTTTTAAAAATTACCTTTATAATTTTTTGCTAGATTTATCCTTCCCTTACCAGTCCCATGCATACCCTAGTTCAGACACTTCTCTTTTGAAATAATCATGTCTTGATCTTTTCCAATGAATTTTTTTCCATTCCAATTTTTTATTCTTCTCTTTTTGGTACTGGGGATTGAACTCAGGGGCACTTTATAACTGAGCTACATCCCCAGCCCTTTTTATTTTTTATTTCGAGACAGGATTTTGCTAAATTGCTTAGGGCTCCCTAAATTACTGAGTCTGACCTAGAATTTGCAATCTTCCTGCCTCAACCTCCCAAGTCACTGGGACTATAGGCATGCTCCACTGCGCCCCAGACTCTCCTTCCTTATTTTCAAAAAATCTTCTAAAGTGAAGGTTTCATAATCTCCAAACTGCTGTTACTTGCTTTCAACACCTTGCCAATCTGATCCCTTGGAATTTCCCTTGTTTAGCCTTAAAGGAAATCTCTCACTTTCTCACATACCAAATTGATTCCATCATCAGATTGTTAGTAACACAGACCCTCCCTAGTCTGATTCCCCAGTAAACTCTCATTGCTTCATCTCATTGATTAGACCAATCTCTTCAATTGCCCCCCAAGATACAAACTCATTAGTACTCACCTCCAAAGCCATGACTCAAGGTATCTTCCCTATCTGCAGTGCCTTCATTTGTCAACCAACCATCTCTCTCCATAAAGTTTTCCCAAAGACTCTATTCTCCACAGATCTCTTCTTCATGTCCCTTTTTGCACTTGATTGTTATATTTTATCTCAAATTGTGTATTTTTTTTTGTTTGTTTTTTAGTTTCTTCACAGGAACCTTATATATTCTTCTCAGTTTAGGATAATGATAGCTGCATAATAGTATCTCAACAAATGCTTGTCGAATGGTTAGAAGAATTTTGAAAGTTTGCTTTACAAAGACTTCATTTCCAATTGCTGATGAATTCCATGCTGCATGAAACATACAAGCAAGAGAGCAGGAGAGAGAGTAATAATGCTAAGTTAGTTAACATTTTGGCTGCTTTATGAATGCCTACTGGAATAAGCAATGAGAGAAAAGTTAAGTAAGGCTCTCACACATGAATATTATGATGAACAAAGTACTTAAAGAGGTGAATTGATAATGTCAAGAAATGCTGGATAATGCTGGGAGCAGTGATGCATGTCTGTAATCTCCGTAACTCAGGAAGCTGAGGCAGAATGATCACAAGTTCAAGACCAGCCTTATCAACTTAATGAGACCCTGTCTGAAAATTAAAAATTAAAAGAACGGGAGGGGGGAAAAATTAAAAGAACTGGGGTTATAGCTCAATGGTAAAGCACCCCTGGGCTCAATCCCCAATACCATCCCCCAAAAACTAACTAAAGAAATAAATGATGGATAATGATAGGTATTTTAATCAGACCTCATATTTATAAAAATAACTCCTTAATTGTAGTCCTTTCAGAAAACATTATGGAAAAAAAAAGAAAACATGAGTTTTCTTTTACATTCATGAGTAAATGAATGAAGTTGGTCTGACAATCAAAGTATTTTGGGGTTTAAAAAAGTTTCCACAAAGGCTGGGGAGGTAGCTTCGTTGGTAGAGTGATTGCCTGACACGCGTAAGGCTCTGGGTTCAATCCCTAGCACCACTAAAAAAAAAAAAAAAAAAAAGTTTCCACAAGGAAAGATACTGAAAATAATAATGCATCTCTACATTTTACTCAGTTTCTCTGGGAGAACTGATGAAAAATATGCCAAATATGAGAAAAACAAAAGTAGAGCATCTGGTTTTGGGAAGTTCACCAAGGAGTGGATAAATAATAGTTATATTTTAATGAGATAAATACTATAATAAAAAATTTACAAGTGATTTGAGAACATAGAGGAGGGAATCACTCAGAAAATGACATCTTAAGGAGAAGGGAAAATATGTAATTTGCTCCCTAATATACTGATTATCTTTAAAACATCAAAATTGTGTTTTTACAAATTACGAAACATAAATTTTATAATTTTACAAGATATCATTATAAGACTAATTTTACAATATATTTACCAAAAGGTCTTAAATAAGAAGTTCTGATAGAGAAATTGTTATACGTCCATAATTTGTATAAAATTTAAACCTGTAAAATGATACTATATAGTTTATGAACACATGCAAAACTATGTAGACTAGATACAGATACATTAAATTCATGATTGTTATTGCCTTTGGAATGGAAGAGGGGAAGGAAGGAATCTGGGGAGGACAATAAAGGGGACGTCAGCTCTCTAAAACTTTCCTTTATTTAAAAATATCTGAAGCAAAACTAAAGAGAAAACTAACAAAATATCAGAAGTGACTAAGACAAAATTTTTGTTCACTCTAGGTGATAAGTACATAGCGATTTGTTATATTATTTTCTGTACTTTTATACATTTTAAATTAAAAACTAAAGCTACACAGTGAACAAAACACCCTATCCTTTAATTGCTCCAGCCTCCTAAATCCTTTCACCTCCTCTGTAATCAAAGGAGCTGCCCAAAGCACTCCTCTTCTCAGGTGGAAAGCAGCCTTTAGCATTCCTTTTGATTTTTTTGAGCCAACTATGAAACTTGAATTTCAGTCAATTTCCTTAAAAAAGAAGAAGAAAAAGAGGAGGAGGAGGAGGAGGAGGAGGAAGAGTGTGATATGCATCCAAATAATATCTTCCAATTACTACATGTCTAGGAAAAGTTAAGGGACAGCTGTGAAAATTGTAAAGTACTATCCTATAACAGGTTTAAAAATATTTAAGCGAAACTAAGAAGAAAGAAGAACCAAGAATTACATTTGATATACTGGATTGCATCTTGAATTCTAACACCTAGATTTCAAGTTCATTTAAGCAGGGCTACGTCTTCTATTTCTTTTAGTGTTCCTGTTGTCTATTCTTTCCTCCCCTCCCTCCCCCCTTCACCCGTCTACCAACACAGCATATAGAATGCCTAGTTCTCTGCATATAGTAAGCACTTTTAAAATGTATGAGTCAATATTAATGTCACAGTGGATCTATTATGACATCACTGGGTCTGGAATACCATGGTTAGGAATCAGTTGGTAGTAGGCTAAGTCACAATCTCTAGGAGCAGGCGTCTGGCTTCCTAGTGGAAATACTTTTATTAGCATTTGCCTATATTCTGTGGAAAAGAATAAAAGAAAAACACCCAAAATTTCAAACATTTACCAAAATGAGAAATGAGGTAGATAGTGATTCTGAATCAGAAAAAGAGAATGATGCCTCGACCATGAGAAGAAAGCCTGGAAGTACCCTTGATGTTCCAGTGGTCTCTTACCTTGAAATCCCACTCTCAGTACAGACAGTCATCTCTAGGATTGAAAAAGCACAGCTCATACGAGCCAAAGAGGTAGGTAGTGAATCAGAAAATTTATAGATTACAAGTTTTTTTTTTAAACTTTTCATCACCAGGTACATTTTTTTTAGAACTAATTTTTTATTGATGATATTTAACTGTATTTGAGAAAATATTGACTTCAAATGATGATTTCACCTGACTAATGGATAACAAGATCCAAATTGATGTTAATCTCTTCAGACTAGGAATTAATGAATCCATTTAAGAAGTAAATCAAGGCTTGCTTAGCATGCTCAAGGTCCTAGGTTCAATCCCCAGCACTAGAAACAAAAAAAAAAAAAAGAAAAGAAAAAGAGAGAGAGAGAGAGAGAGAGAGAGGAAAAAGATATAAATATTGGTACTTTCTCACTCTCCAGGCAGAATTTCCCTGTTCCAACTAGCAACAATAACAATGTCTATTTTCTTTTGCAATTCTGGCCATTCAACCCAGGGACTTCTACATGCTAGGCAAGTGCTCTACCACTAAGCTGCATACCTAGCACATTTTATATTATATTAAATTAATGAATTTACCCATGACCTCCAAAAGTTTTTCATGCCTCTTTATAAGACTTCTACATGCCTTCCCTGTCACGGACCTTAATCCCCAGATAACTACCAATCAGTTTCCTTTCTTTTTCTTTTCTTTTTTTATGGAACTGGGGATAGAACCCAAGGGCACTCTACAACTGAGTGACATCCCCAGTGCTTTTTATTTTTAGTTTTGAGACAGGGTTTCACTAAATTGCTAAAGCTGGCCTAGAATTTGAGATCCTCTAACCTCAGCTTCCTTGATGCTGGGATTATCCTGCTGAATATAACTTCTTTGGGGTGGAGGGTACTGGGGATTGAACTCAAGGGCACTCAACCACTGAGCCACATCCCCAGCCCTATTTTGTTATTTAGAGACAGGGATTCACTGAGTTGCTTAGCACCTCACCATTGCTAAGGCTAGCTTTGAACGCATGATCCTCCTGTCTCAGCCTCCGGAGCTGCTGGGGATTACAGGTGTGCGCCACCATGCCCATCTCTGAGCTGCCTTTGAACTAGAGATCCTTCTGTTTTAGCCTCTGTAGTCACTGGGATTACAGGCATGTGCCTTCATCCCTAGCTGAATACAACTTCTTTATCAGATGGGTGATTTGCAAGTATTTTCTCCCATTCTGTGACTTGTCCTTTTCTTCTTCTAATAGTGTTTTTCAAATAACATAAGTTTCAAGTCCAGTTTATTGTTTCCTTTAGTGGTTCCTGCTTTTGGTGTGATAAGTAAGCAAAATTTTGCCTAACCCAAGGGCACATTTCTCCTATGTATTTTTCTAGACCTTTTAGACTTCTGGATTTTACACTTGGGTCTATGATCCACTTTGTCTTAATCTTTGTATATGATGTCATATATAGATTAGGGTTCTTTTTTTATATTTATTTTTTAGTTTTCAGTGGACACAACATCTTTATTTTTATGTGGTGCCGAGGATCGAACCCAGCACCCCACGCATGCCAGGGGAACGAGTTACCGCTTGAGCCACATCCCCAGCCTCTAGGGTTCTTTTTTAAAAAAAATAATTATTGCAGCTCCATTTGTTAAAAAGACTATCCTCTCACCATTAAATTGAATTGGCTCTTCAGTTGAAAATCAGTTGACCATATCTTTGAGTTTATAGTTTCTCTAGTCTCTTATATTAATCTATTTGTCTTTCTTTATGCCAAAGCCACAGTATCTTGATTACTGAAGTCTTTATAATTATTTTGGAAACCAGGTAGTTTTAGTTCTACCATTTTGAACTTCAATTATTCCAATCTCTCCCCCGACCCCTTTTCTTTTTCTTGGGCTTCTTTCTCTGGAGTGACACACTAAAACACATAAAACTTAAAAACTGTCTTTATCTACAGAGCTTTCTCTCTTTGCATTTCCAAATGAATTTTAAAATCAGCCTGTGAAATGCTATCAAATATACATTTTTAAAAGCCTGCTGAGCCAGATGTGGTGGTACACACTTGTAATCCTAGTGACTCTGGAGGCTGAGACAGAAGATTCAAGGTCAGTCTCAGCAGTCTCAGGAGACCCCTGTCTCAAGATAAAGCATAAAAAAGGGCTGGGGTCATGGCTCAGTGGTTAAGTGCCCCTGGGTTCAATCTCTGGTACCAAAACAAAACAAAAACGTCTACTAATATCTTTGATTGGGATTGTATTGACTTTATTAATCAATTTGGAAAGAATTAATTTTTTTTTTTTTTAGGTGCTGGGGATTGAACCCAGGGCCTTGTGCATGTGAGGCAAGCACTCTACCAACTGAGCTATATCCCCAACCCCAAGAATTAAAATCTTAACAGTATTTTGTCTTTTGACCCCTGGACATAGCATATTTCTCCATTTATTTAGGGCTATACACTGAAAAAAACTACAAAGCGTTTCTGAGAAAAATTAGCCTACTTTCCAACATATAGGACTTTATACATCTTTTGTCAGATTTATCACTAAGCATATGTTAAAGTTTAGATCTGGAAAAACCCTGAAGTCTTGGTCCCCAATGCAGCAATATCCAGAGGAGGGGCTTTTAGGAAATGACTCAGTCATGAGGGCTGTAACCTCATCTTTGGGTTAATCAATTGATGGATTAATAATTTGGAAGGACTCTGGCAGGTGGTGAAAACTGTAGGGGTTAGAACTGAGTTGAAGGGAGTGGTTCCTCAGGAGTACGCCTTTGGGGACTTTATCCTGTTCCTAGCCCTTTTCTTACTCCCTCTGCTTCCTGGCTATCATGAGGTAAGAGCTTTCCTCCACTATATCCTTCTACCTTGATGTTCTGCCTCAAACCAGGCCCAAAGCAATGGAGCTGCCAACCGTCAACTGGAACCTTTGAAACTATGTGCCAAAACAAATCTTTCTTCCTTTAAATTTTGTTTATTCAGAATAAACAAAAATAAATAAGAAAGGAGTGGGGATATAGTTCAGTGATAAAGTGCCTCTGGACTCAATCCCCAGCACCAAATAAATAAATAAATAAGTTTCTCTCAGGTATTTTGTCACAGAGATGAAAAGCTGACTAAACACAGCATATCATATTTTTTTAAAAAATATTTTTTTAGTTGTTGATAGACCTTTATTTTATTTATTTATATGCAGTGCTGAGAATAGAACCCAGTACCTTACACATGCCAGGCAAGTATGCTACTGCTTGAATCCCAGTCCCAGCATATCTTATTTATTTATTTACTTTAATTTTTTTATTCTAATTTGTTATATATGACAGGGGAATGTATTACAATTCATTTTACACACATAGAGCACATTTTCATATCTCTGGTTGTATACAAAGTGTCTTCATACAATTCATGTCATCATACATGTACTTTGGATAATGATGTCCATCTCATTCCACCATCATTTCTAACCCCATGCCCCCTCCCTTCTAGAGGTTTGTCTATTCCTCCCATGGTACCCCTCCCTACCCCACTATGACTCAGCCTCCTCATTTCAGAGAGAATATTCATCATTTGTTTTTTTGGGGATTGGCTAACTTTACTTAGCATTATCTTCTCCAACTCCATCCAAGTACCTGCAAACCAGCATAACATTTTTTAAAAAAATTTTTAGTCATAAATGGACATAATGCCTTTATTTTGTTTATTTATTTTTATGTGGTGCCTATGATCAAACTCAGTGCCTCACGTGTGCTAGGCAACTGCTCTGCCACTTAGCTACAGCCCTAGCTAGCCCTCATATTTTTTTTCGTATAACTGGTATTGCTTTTTAATTTCAATCTTCAATCGTTCACGACTAATATATAGAAATACAATTGATTTTCACATGTCCATCTTGTACACTAAACTCAGTTCTTAGACGTTTTAGTTTTTTTTTGGTACATTCTTTGGGGTTTCCTACATATGCATTCCTGTCATATGCTAACAGGGGCAGTTTTATTTCCACTGTTCATATACATGTGTATTCTAACTTCTTTTCTGACTTGTTAAGGGGGTATAGGACCATCAATACAAAGTTGCCTAGAGGTGATAAAAACAGCACCATTGCTTTGTCTTTAATATTAGGGTAAAACATTTAGTCTTCTAACATTGAGTAATGATAGTAGCTACACTTTTTTTTTTTTAAGGTGCTCTTTATCAGGTTATGGAAATTTTCTGCTTTTCCTAGTATGTCAAGATATTTTAAATTAGGAATAGACACTGAGTATTATTAAAAGCTTTTACTGCACCTATAGGGATAATTGTTTTTCCTCTTTAGGTCTGTTAATACACTGACTTATATTAATTTATGAATGTGAAGCAAACTTTGCATTTTGGGGATAAATTCCACTTACCTATGATGTATTATTCTTTTTATATCTTGTATTTAGTTTGCTAAAATTTTATTAACTTTTGCATCTATATTTATGAGGTATATTTTCTGTAGTTTTCTTGTAATGACTTTAGTTATGGCATCAGTATATCATTAGCTTTAGAGAGTCAGAAGAATCCCCTTCTGTTCAATTTTCTGTAAGAGTTTGTTGAGAATTTGTGCTGCTTCTTTTTATAAGTTTGGTAGAAACTACCAGTGTTTGGGTAGGAAGAGGGAGAAATAACCAAGGGGACCATATGTGCTCAGAGTCTAATTTATAGGAGGGCTTTAGACCACAAATTCAATTGAAAATACACACAGGGCTATTTAGATTATCCATTTCATTCATTTTTTGGCACCAGGAATTGAACCCAGAGGCATTTAACCACTGAGCAATATCCTCAGCCTTTTTCAGTTTTTTAAATTTTGAGACAGTCTCACTAAATTGCTCAGGGCCTCACTAAATTGCTGAGGTTGGCTTTGAACTTGTGATCCTCCTGTCACAGCTTCCCAAATCACTGGGATTACAGGCATGGAACACTGCACCCAACTTTTTGTTTTTGTTAGTGGGGATTGAACCCAGGGGCACTCTACCACTGACAAACATCCCCAGCCCTTTATATTTTTTTATTTTGAGACAGGATATTACTAAATAGATAGCTGAAGCTGGCCTCAAAAC